GCAGGCCGTACGCATTGTCAGGAGTGGAGGCACCCGGGGGGAGTCTGAGCCAAAATCGCTGAGAGGGGTCCAGCCAGGATCCAAATACCAAGGACCCAGGGGCAGAAGCTCTGGGAGGCAGGCTGGGCAGGGGGCCTGTGCCAGGAGAGGAGGCCGAGAGCCAGCCCTGAGGGCAAGGACAGGCTCGCTGGGGCTGCTCCTGGAGCTGGGCCGAGGAGGGCGGACGCCGCGTTCTCATGGTCATACGTGTTAAAAACCTCGACAGGAACCCGGTTCCAGGCGAGCTTACTCGGCTGGTACGAACCGATGGGTGTCAAACATCTGCCGTGTGCAAAGCGGTGGCGGTGGGAGGGGAGCAGCTCTGTAGGGAGGAGCCACGCATGGCCTTGGGCCTGGGAGTTCGTGGAGCCCCGATGGAGGGGTCCCCCAGAGGGAGGGGTCTCCCTGGAGCTGGGTGAGGAAGGCGGGTGCTGAGTGGGCGTGGCGGCAGGGAACGGGCGGTGTTCCTGGCAGAGGGTCGGTGGGCCCTCAGGTGGCCCTGCCTGGGAGGCTCAAGAAGGAGAGGAGGGAGGAGCTGCCGAGCTGGGCGGGCCCTGGCGGCCTGAGGCCGTGGCTGGGCCCAGGGGGCCGGGTTGTCATGGGCTTTGAGTAGGAACGGGCTGAGCTAGATTGTAACTCAGGGCGATCCACCCAGCAGGGTCCCAGGCGACCTGGGGAGGGAGAAGGGCGGGAGAGCCGGAGGCTATGGAGGCCGAGCCCACCCCGCTGGGTGCCAGCCCGCCCCGCCTTCCTCCGAAGGTTTGGAAAGCTCCCCTTAGACCAGCGGTTCTCAACCTGTGGGTCACGACCCCTTTGGCGGTCGAACGACCCTTTCACAGGGGTCGCCTAAGACCATCCTGCATATCAGATATTTACATGACGATTCATAACAGTAGCAACATGACAGTTATGAAGTAGCCACGAAAATAATTTTATGGTTGGGTCACAACATGAGGAACTGTGTTTAAAGGGCCAGAAGGTTGAGAACCACGGCCTTAGACTTTTCACTTCTTAAAAAAATACTGATTTCAGGGAGGAAGGGAGAAGGAGAGAGAGAGAAACATCCGTGATGAGAGAGAATCATGGACCGGCTGCCTCCTGCACGCCCCACACTAGGGATGGAGCCCGCAAACCGGGCCTGTGCCCCGACTGGGAATCGAACCCTGACCTCCTGGTTCATAGGTTGACACTCAACCACTGAGCCACACCGGCCGGGCTAGACATTTCGCTTTTAAAATGCGGGTGTTTAGGGCACTTCAGCCACCGGATAACCCTCGTCGGTCCTGTCCCGGGGCACCACAGAGCAGGACCCTCCGCGGGGCCTCCAGCTTCCTGCAGGAGGGGCTGACTGTCCGGCTTCCAGGGAGCCGCCTGCTAAGGGCCTGGACTCGGGGGCGGGATGGACGCCCCCTCTGACGCTCAGGCAGCTTCCCCAGGGGCAGGCGTCAGGGCCTCCTGGTCTCCTGGCTGAACCCCAAGAGGAGCCCTATGAGGCCTCTGCCCCCCTCTCCCCCAGAGACGGCCACTGCCCGGGAAGCGGTTCTCCTGGTACCTGCTGCCCCCGAAGCTGTGCCCACGCCGCTGGAGATCTGTGCCCAGAGCCGAGCCCCGGAGCCCGAGGAGCGGCCGAGGGGCCTCAGGGTTGGGGACAGGGCGCACTGGGGAGTGGCAGCTGGTGACTCTGTTCCCCAAATGTTTACAACCGGAAGGCGGTTCCTGTCAAGGGTCGTGTTGCTCCTGCGCTGACACGCCGTGGGGGTGGCCACAGTGAGGGCGTGTGGCCTTGGCGCAGGCGGTGAGGGAGCCTGCCCGCCCC